TAAATCTCCATGATCTTGAATCTGACAAAGGATTCTTAGATATGACACAACCAAAAGCACAAGCAACAAAATAAAAAGTAGATAAACTGGATTTTCTCAAAGTTAAAAACCTTTGTGCTTCAAAAGATACCATCAAGAAAGTGAAAAGACAATCCACCAGAATGCAAGAGATTTTTTGCAAATCATGTATCTGATAAGGCACCTGTATCTAGGATACATAAGAATTCCTACAATTCAATTAGAGAAACTTAGTATACGTATTAATACGTGAAACTTTCACCACAGATTTTAGAACATTTTCATACTTTAGAAACTCTGTACTTGTTAGCTGTAACGTTTTATTCCCCTGTGTCATCTCCCCTCCCCCAACCCCTACTAAGCAACCAAAACTGAATTCAATCTAAAAGGGAACAAAGAAATTGAATAGGTTTTTTCAAAGAAAATATACAAATGTCCAATAAGCACATGAAAAGATACTAGACATCATTAGTATTAAGGAAATGTAAATCACTACCACAAAGAAATACGACTTCATGCCCCACTAAGATGGCTAAAATCAAAAGAGAATAACAAGTGTTGATGAGGATGCAGAGAAATGAGAACCTTCATACACTGCCAGTGAAAAATATAAAATGGTAGAGCTGTTCTGGAAAGCATTGGTGGCAGTTTTTGAAATGATTAAACAGTTACCATAGATCCCAGAAATTCACTCCTAGAAATATACCCCAAAGAACTGAAAACAGGTATTCAAGTATTTGTACCTGAATGTTCTTAGCAGCATATTCACAATTGCCAAAGGGTAGAAACAACCAATAGGCTGGATACCCTTTAGATGAATGGGAAAACAAAATGTGGTATACAATTAAGTATTATTTAGCAATAAAAAGGAATGAAGTAGTAATATATGCTACAACTTGGATGAACCTTAAAATTATGCTGATATAATCACAAAATCTCAATCCCCAAAGTCTACATAGTATGATTCCATTCACATTGAAGTCCAGAATAGGTAAATTGACAGATATAGAAAGTAAATTAGTGGTTGCTTGGTGGGGGGGGTAGGGGAAGGGAGATGACAACAGGGGAATAAAATGTTACAGCTAACAAGTACGGAGTTTCTTTCTGAAGTATGAAAATATTCTAAAATTGACTGTGGTGATAGTTTCACATATTTGTGAATATGTATACTAAAAACCGTTGAACTGTATGCCTTAAATGGGTGAATTGTATGGTATGTGAATTACAGTCGACCCTTGAACAACATGTGTTTCAACTGCATGGGTACACTTGACTTTTTTTTCCAATACATACAGTACAGGACTGTAAATGTATTTTCTCTTCCTTATAATTTTCTTAGTAACACTTTCTTTTCTCTAGTTTACTGTAAAAATGCAGAATATAACATATAACATGCAAAATACGTGTTAATTGACTCTATTCTCGGTAAGGATTCTGGTCAACGGTAGGGTGTTAATAAAGTCTTTGGGGAGTCAAAAGTTATATACAGATTTTTGACTGTGCAGGGTGTCACTGCCCCTAACCTCCATGTTGTTCAAAAATCAACCCTATATCTCAACAAGATGTTTTTAAAAATATCTGTCAAGTGGGATGCCAGGGTGGCTCAGCGGTTGAGCATCTGCTTTTGGCTCAGGACATGATCAAGAGTCCCACATCAGGCTCCCTGGAAGGAGTCTGCTTCTCCCTCTGCCTGTATCTCTGCCTCTGTGTGTGTCTCATGAATAAATAAATCTTTTTTTTTAAATTATGTTCTCATAAATACCTCAGCATGGTACTTACCTTACTTCAATTTCCCCTCAAAGGAAAAAAAAAGACCTATCTCAACTTCTCAACTCCCCTGCATTTTTTTAAAAGATTTTATTTATTTATTCATGAGAGAATAAACAGCACATCTTATCAATTCATCTGTTGAAGGACACTTAGGTTGTTTCCAATTCTTGGCTATTATAAATAATGCTATAATGAACATGAGGATAAACACCCAGAAGTGGAATTGTTGGATCATAAGGTAATTTTACTTTTAATTTTCTGAGGAACTTCCATAGTGGCTGCATAAATTTACACTTCCACAAAGATTTCTAATGAGTTGATAATATACTCCTGTTTTTGCTTCAAATAAAGAAAATCTAAAAGCTGACTACTGACATTCCCAATGCTTAACAGTTTATCTAAGGAAGCAAAAAAAAAAAAAAAAAAACACAAAATTTTCTTTACATGTTGGGTCATCATCTTAACCAAGAACAAGCTGTTAAAAATAAGGTCTATCTCTATAGATTAGGGACTTATTTTAGTTTTTAAAGATTTTACAAGTAATCTCTAGACCCAACATGAGGCTTGAACTCAAAACCCTGAGATCAAGAGTTACATGCTCTACCGACTGAGCCACCCATGTGCCCCAAACTTATTTTATAAGTGTTAGAGGAAAGTTTGCTAAAAATCATACTTAGAATAAAATTTGCATCTTACAGCCAGTTAATAATCTTCAACCTCTACGAGAGTGTAGTCTTCTGGTCCTGCCAAGCTACACCTAGAAAATTTATTCCATAGGCCATACAAGAAATGTGTTGGGTGTTAGGATGAAAAAATGTAGACAAGACAGGGTGTTTATACTGTAATGGTACCAAATAAAATACACTCAACACACCTGAGTAAATGTTACTACATTTTCTCTATTCTCTACTTCCATCAATCTCATAAAAAAAATGACCACAATTTTGACATTTTCCTGTTTATTGAGAAGTTATCTGTTTAAAGATTCCAGCAGATGTATTTCTATGGTTCATATGAAAGGAAACACATCCTGCTAGGAACACATACAGGAAAACCCCTACTAGTAGTAAAATCCTGCCCAGCACATTTGCTGAGACTACTCCAGAGCATCAATTACTCCAGTGCTCACAGAGTGTTCCCTAGCCAGCAACAACTGCAGGAAGACTCCAGAATATCCCAACAGGGAAAGAGCATGTTCCCTCTAAGTTGTTGCTTTAATGGCAGGCACTTTTCAACATGGGAGAGATTGGATGCATTATTTAAGAGAAACTGACAAGTAAGATCGCAGATGAGGCTATGTCCTAAAATCAGCTTTTAAATGGCAATACAAAAAGTTAAAACTGCTTTTAAGAATGTCAGAGTTCATTCTAGAATATGTACGCCTACAGAGAATACATCCAGAGTTCATTCTGGAATATGTAAGCCTATGTAGAATACACATTCACAAGAGAGCACACACCCAAAGCAAATATGGGAGGTGCTCCAATTAAATACAAAAATTCAACATTCATCATTTCTGGATATGAGATGGCTGAGCTGTTTTGAATTTTCTTTTTTTTTTATTATTTAAGATTTTATTCATCCATTCCTGTGAGACACAGAGAGAGAGGCAGAGACATAGGCAGAGGAAGAAGCAGACTTCCTGCAGGGAGCCCAATGCAGGACTAGATCCCAGGACCCCGAGATCACGACCTGAGCCAAAGGCAGATGCTGAGCCACTGAGTCACCCAGGCGCCCTGTTTTAATTTTTCTTAAACAACAATCTACCAGTGACACTCGAATTCATCTAACAAATCATTTTCACTGCATCCAATTCCCTAATTAACAGATTCATATGTGACACGTTCCAAGAAAAAAATATGCCTAATTTACCTACTTTAATAGAAGTTGTCTTAAAAAAGAAGAAAAAAGGGGCACCTGGGTGGCTCAGTGGTTGAGCGTCTGCCTTTGGCTCAGGTTGTGGTCCTGGGATCTAGTCCCAATTCAGGCTCCCTGAAGGGAGCCTGCTTCTCCCTCTGCCTGTACCTCTCTATGTCTCTCATGAATAAATAAAACCTTTAAAAATAAATAAGAATTTTAAAAAGGAAGAAAAAAGGCCACATGCAACATTTCTTCAAAAGTACAACAGAAAGTCAGATACACAACAGACCTCATTACACAGCAGCTAGGGCTCAAAGAGATGTGAACTCCCCTAATGACACTGAGGTGCTGGGGAAAAAAATGGTTTTTCTCTAGAAAAATAGCTGACCACTTAAGACAACTGACTACAAGTATGGAACAACCTTGATGTTGGTTCAATTTATTATGACATCAAGAATGGTAAGAACAAAGGGGGAAAGTTCATCCTTATTCCTGCCTTCCAAGTAGTTTCCTTCCATTACCATTATTCATCCAGGTAATAGGCAGAATGCCAAGAAGGAGGCATTAATTATAAATGTGCTTTGTTTCAATTCAATGATCCATTATCATTTTAGTTTTTAAATCTTTCCAGGAATAAGAGAAAGAAAGAAGAAAGAAAGAAATAAAGAAAAGAAAGAAAGAAAGAAAGAAAGAAAGAAAGAAAGAAAGAAAGAAAGAAGAAAAGAAAGAAAGAAGAAAAGAAAAAGAAAAGAAAGAAAGAGAGAAAGAGAAGGAGGGGGAGGGAGGGAGGGAGGGGAAGGGCAGGGCAGACACACAAGCACAAATAAGATCCACCAAGAAGCATCCAGGCTCACTCCTCACAGCAGCCTGGAGTGGAAAAGGTTTCAAAGCTCATCAATTCCAGGCCCTTCATTTTCGGCACAGAAACATTATGTGACTTGACCAAAGATAAAAGACTTTTCTGGAGAGACACAATGACCTTGAACCACAAAGTACAGGCCAGTTCAACCTTCTACCCCCATGAACTTTCATACTTTTTCAATGATAAACTCCCCCTCACACATACAATTTGGCTTTCCCACATCAGCCAATAATGCCACTCAGAGATCTTTGTGGGGGTGCTGCTTCGACAGTTCAAGGTTCCACATAGCCTGCTTGTGTAATTTAAGTATGAAACTGCATTTGCTCACATTTTATAAAATATAGAAACTGGCTGTAAACATTCAAAGACAGAGAGACAAACAGCATTAAATATGCCAAAAGAAGCAAATCTTTACTTCTGATTGAAAACCCTTAGGCTTAATGCCAGAGGACTATGCACTCTATTGTCTAAGAGAACAGCACAAAAAGACATGGGTAAAAAGCTAGAAATCTATATCAAGGACTATTTCTCAAAGGTGAGGTAAAATGAACAGGTTTGTACTTTTTAAAGCTTTCTAAGCAAAGAACTCTTTCATCTTTTGCAATTTTGTATTCATTTTACCAACTTGCTACAGAGAGAAACTGAGGACTACTGACATCTACATAAACAGTCACTGATGACCTGAAGTAGAAGGGGAAGCTATGAAAATGACTGTTAAAAATGAAGTCTGACAAGAAATGAAATGAGCTATAGAATATAAATCAAGGGTATCCCTGGGTGGCTCAGTGGTTTGGTGCCTGCCTTTGGCCCAGGGCGCAATCCTGGAGTTCTAGGATCAGGTCCCGCATCAGGCTCCTGGCATGGAGGAGCCTGCTTCTCCGCCCCTCTCTCTATGTCTATCATGAATGAATGAATGAATGAATGAATGAATGAATGAATGAATGAATAAATAAACCTTTAAAAAAAAAAGAATATAAATCACATCACCACAAGGTGCACTTCAAACATCTTACAATTTCATGTCAACTATACCTCAATAAAGCCAAAATTTAAAAAAAGAAATGAATCAGCACATGAGGGACACCTGGGTGGCTCAGTGGTTGAGCGTCTGCCTTCGGCTCAGGGCCTGATCCCAAGATCCGGGATCAAGTCCCACATCGGGTTCCCTATGAGGAGCTGGTTTCTCCCTCTGCCTGTGTCTCTGCTTCTCTCTGTGTCTCTCATGAATAAATAAATAAATCTTAAAAAAAAAAAAGAAGTAATCAGGGATCCCTGGGTGGCGCAGTGGTTTGGCGCCTGCCTTTGGCCCGGGGCGCGATCCTGGAGACCCGGGATCGAATCCCACGTCGGGCTCCCGTGCATGGAGCCTGCTTCTCCCTCTGCCTGTGTCTCTGCCTCTCTCTCTCTCTGTGACTATCGTAAATAAAATTTTTTTTAAATTAAAAAAAAAGTAATCAGCATATGAACACCAAAATACCAACATATAAAGGTCCCAAATTAAAAAACTAAAAATTTTCAAATTAACTCTCTCTTGCACTAGAGAAACTCATTACTAACTAAAAGATGCACTCACTAATAGGACCTGTAACTCACTTAAGACATAATAAATAATGACATTACAGAAATATTACAGTTGCCAAATCACGAGATTATAATATAAGGTTTTAGAGATCATCTGTGGCTCTTCAATGACAGAAATATATTTTTGTTATTGCACCATCAAAATAAGCAGATTCTTTTCCTACAATCATAATATGCAAAGATAATCTGTTTACTATCCCTCATACTCTTCCAATTTGCTGCTTATCACCAGCGTCTTCTTAAATACAACCACCTCTCCCCATCCTGGAGCTTTGAAAAAGAATTGCGTGAGAAACCTCCATCACAGAGACAGAGAGGCAGGCCCCCTACCTGCCAGAAGAACACTATGGATCAGATTCGAGGCTGCACCATCTCCCTCAAGTGCACCACAGGAGACTAATCTCAGAAGCTGAACCTCTTCTCATCAAAGAGCCAAATTAATCCCAAGAGTTCTCATATCAACAGCAGAACTTTTACAAACATGACTGACCCAGCAATCTCACTTAAAAAATTAATGATGAATGTGTTTTGAAATACTCTTTCTATACCAATGACCTACTTCTCTTATCAACAACTGGTAAAAAGCACACCATGTATGACTGTTCAAACTTGTTAAGTCTGTTTCTACCGCTTAGTCAGATGGAGTTACTCTTGGTATAAAATTCTAACAATTCTTTGCCATTATACTTGTACTAGGAAATGAAATTACTGGACTCCCAGATCTTTTGGGGGTCTTTAAAAGACATTTTTGGGACGCCTGGGTGCCTCAGCAGTTAAGCATCTGCCTTTGGTTCAGGGCGTGATCCCACGGTCCCAGGATCAAGTCCCACATTAGGCTCCCTGCATGGAGCCTGCTTCTCCCTCTGCCCATGTCTCTACCTGCCTCTCTCTCGTTGTCTCTCATGAATAAATAAATAAAATCTTAAAAAAAAAAAAGACATTTTTATGAACATTCTCATAGGGCTGGTCGGTCATAGGCAAAACTAGCAATGTCAAAAGACAAAGTAATCACCTTTCACTGAATAATCTGTCTTCCCTTTTTAATACCCTATACCCTGGGCAGTAAGTAAACATATACTCCTGACAATGTTTCAAGGGAACAGAGAGACAAGGAAAACTCTGGCTTAGATATAAGACACAAGTTTATCCTGACATAGTCCCTTAACCACTAAATTATTTTTGTACTATGGTTGTTGGTTTCTTCATCTATAAAATGGACAACTAACAAAAGATGTTATTCTAGGGATCCTATTATAATCTAAAGCCTACAAGTGGGTATGAAATGCTTCTTTCACCGGGATCCAGTCCACAACCCATAAAAGACACACAATTCACTGAGAATTCAGTTACTAGCACTCACAGGGTTATACACACAACACATACACTCAACTGTGAATGCTGAGTAGGTCTTTAATCCTTGTCATTCATCATGCATTTATTCAAATATTTATTAATCTTTGATCACATGCTTGGCATCATGATAGACATGGCAGACAATAGTGAGCAAGGAGACTGGCCCTAGCTCTCATGCAGCTTACAATCTGCTGGAAGAGATGCATCATAATCAAATAGTCCCACTACTATTAATGTGCTGCTGTGACAAATGTTGGACACAGAAAGTGCGCCCAGAGGGAGTCAAAAACCAGGGCAAAGAATTACCTCTTAGTAGTAGCTCCAAAGAGCCTTCTCTCTGCAAGTAGTGTTTGAAAGGAAAAAAAAAAATTAGGGGAAAAATTCAAATTACTTATTGTACCTTTTCATATTAATAACTAGACTCATGGGGGATCAAGACCTCCATTCTTGAGGAAAAAACATCATACATCCCATCTCACCAATAAAATGAAAATACCTCCATGGAAGTGAGACAAACAAATAAAGCACTCTTTGAGGAGGAAACAGTTGGGTTAAGTATTTTGGGAGTGAATATTCCATTACAAGAAGCTTTTAGTAGCCTTAGCTGGCAAAACTGTAACACAATCCCCCCCCCAGTTCTATTTTCATTCCAAACTGTATGAAAATTTGAAAAGAAAATCATAGTCAATTCTTTATGTTAAATTAATTGGACTATATAATAGTAACTAAAAGAGAAATTGTATATGCCTCAAAAGAAAGTAGAAAGAATCCTCTTTAAAGTATTTTGAGTAGAAGACTAGCAGAAAGATAGGGGGCTTTCCATCCCTCATATTCTTTTAAAAGACAGCATTTATAATAGACAAGCAAGAAAACTACATTTACAGCAGTAATCTCTAAAAACTGCCAGAAATACATACACACACAAATGCAATTACAAAACAATTTTTTTTTTCTTAAAGGTAGGCTCTATCCCAGCATGGGGCTTGAACTCATGACTATGAGAGCAAGGACTTCTCTGGACGCCTGGGTGGGTGGCTCAATCAGTTAAGTGTCTGACTCTTGATTTCTGTTCAGGTCAGGGTTGTGAGACAGAGCTACGGCAGGCTGCACACTGGGCATGGAGCATGCTTAAGATTCTTTCCCTCCCCACCTCTCTGTGCGTGTGTGCGTATTGCTCCCTTGCTCTCTCCTTCGCCCTCTTTAAAAAAGAAAAAAAAAAAAGTTGCATGCTCTACCAACTGAGCCAGCCAGGAGCCCCTACAAAGCAATTCTTATGATCGTTTATCATAACTACAAAACAATTCTTTCTTTGTAATCACATATCACAATTACAAAACAATTTTTGTGATCATGCATCACTAATATACTTAGAGTTTTCAAATTTTAATCCTGCACCAATGAACCCCCAAATGATCCAACAGTTGAAATGGTACACAATATGGCCTATCTTTCTATACCCAGTTCTTGTCAATTTTCTCAAGTCAAATGAATGCAAACACATTAAGACCTTGGAGCCCAGGAGCTCCTGAAAAGGGCTGAGAGCTGTCCGTGATTACCCTGGGGCTGGCCTGGAGTCCCCTCAGGGTCCACTAGGGACACTTAGCAGTCAGTCAGTGCATTAAAGGACAAGAAACTTAAGACCAGAAAGGGAAGCTCAATTTTTTCCATGACTACCTTAACTTCAAATCCTCATTTTGATACAAATTATGGTTCTTCTTGTATCTATTGTAACAAAAACTCACAAGATAAATGCATGCTTCCAGGGGATGTTACTTTAATTGTTTCTAAAGTCCAAGTTGCAGGCACCTATGTGGCTCAGTCAAGTGTCTGCCTTTGGCTCAGGTCTTATCTCAGGGTTCTGGATTGAATCCCACATGGGGCTCCCTACTCAGCAGGGAGGCTGCTCCTTCCTCTCCCTCTGCCCCTCCCCTGGCTTGTGCTCTCTCTTGCTCACTCTCTCAAATAAATAAATGCATGACATCACAGTTATGTGTGATTATGGGCTGATTAAAAAAAAAAAAAGTCAAAGTTGCTAGCCAAACTACAAAACAAAGACCTAAAAACCCCAAGCTACCAATATTTTCAACTTATTCAAGTCAGTTAAGTACATTTGCAATGAAGTACCAGTATGTTAGGTCACCCTGTTTTTCATCAGAATTCATGCTTTAAATAACCAGAGCTCCAAAATGTTCTTTACAAATAAAGCCTGTTTCAATAAATAAATGTGTACATATACACACACACTTTGCTTACAGTATTTATAATGAAAATTATGGGGTTAGAGTACTATAAAATTATTTAATAAGCAAATGTTTACAATTAGCAATCCTTCTACACCACAGAAAACGTCCCCTTCACTACTTTTGTCTTCTAATAAAATGGGAAGACCGACCATCTCTATCACAAGTGTATCACGTAAAACTGAAATTCAATTATTTAACTAAAATTTACTGAGCACCTTGTGCCAGGCAGCATGTTGGGGAATGGAGGCACAGAAAATGTAGGATATTCCCTGCCTTCAGAGAACATGGAAGATAGCAGTATTAGTGTTCACTTTCACAAACTGAAAAATAATTCCCTACAGATATTTACTTTTAAATT